ACTTCACTGTGGATCGTTGCTGCGTCTGAGCGCGGTGCGCTGCTTCCCAGCGCGTAAATATTCTGCCGGGACAGTGCGTCCGCGACGAAGTTTTCTTTCCCCGGCTTGTAGAATAGCCTGGCGCCGATTTCATCGATTCGCGCCTTCCAACGCTTGATTTTTGCGTTGGGGTTCCCCTCTGACACCGCGAACGTGAGCGGCTGGTGATCAGTAAATACGTTTATTTCTTTGACGCCATAAATGTAATGGCGCAACTTTCCCAAGGCCCATACAATCGCTAACAGCTCTCGCTCGTTAGTGGCGTAGTTCAGCTCACAGTCCTTGAGGGTCCTTGAGATCATTGTGATCGGTCGACCCCCCTAGACAGTACCGCTCCGATGCCGTAAGCAGAAGCGTCGGTGGTCAGATCGAAGGGCTTTTTGTAATCTGGGTACATCAGCATTACGTTTTCCGATGCCAGAATGTTCCTAAGTTTCTGGAACGCCCGTCTTTGATCTTCGTTGAAGATAATGGGGGTTTTTTTAGACTTATATTTGCTAACTGAACCGTTTTCCCCTTTTAGGATGTTTGAGAGAGGGCGGGCGATCGCCGCGAAATCTTTCACAAAACATCTGTAGTAGCTTGCTAGGCCTAAGAATGATCTTAGCCCGAATAGCGTTGTTGGCTCGACGTACTCCTGGATGGCTTTCACCTTTTCCGGGTCCGTTCTTGTGCCTTCGCTAGTTACAATAAAGCCAAGGTATTCTACGCTTGTCTTAAAGAACTGCGACTTCTCTTGAGCCACTCTCATGTTGGCATCATAGAGGCTTTTCAGTACCCAGTCGACGTGTTTAACGTGCTCGTCCTGAGACTTGGAGAATATGATTACGTCATCGACGTAAACATAACATGTTTTGCCGATTTGTTCGCGCAAAACGTCATCGATTGCCCTCTGGAAAATGCTGCCAGCATTTCTTAGACCGAAGGGCAGTCGGCAAAACTCATACTTCCCTCCATTTACGGAAAAGGAAGTTTTTTCCCTGTCGCGTTCCGCCAAAGTTATTTGGTGGTACCCGGATTTCAGGTCAAGAGTAGTGAAGTACTTTGCAGTACCTAAATTTGCCAATATCATTGAGATGCATGGCATGGGTATTTGTCGGCTATCGTTTTCTGATTGAGCTTCCGAAAGTCCATTACGAGACGTTTCTTCTTATTGCCCCTCTCATCAGTGCCTTTTTTGTCGACCACCCATATCGGGTTGTTATATGGCGACCTTGATTTCTGTACGATTTTGTCCTTCAAGAGGCTTTTAACCTCGGCATCGACAAAATCAGCTACACCCATCGGGTAGGGGTAAAGCTTGGAATAAATTGGTTCGTCGTCCACTGTGCGAATAGTGGCCACGACCGAAGTGTTATAGGGCAGCGACCCGTTAGGGTCGGCGAAGGCCTTGTTTCTTTTCTTCAGCATTTGCATGAAGCTTGCCTTTATGGCAGCAGGTGCGTCGATGTCAACAACGTTAGTATGGTTGACATCTGTGCACTCATGGAACTTGATTGTCTCGGTTGTGTTGCCGAAAGTGAGCGTTCCATTTCTCAGAGATAGCGTGGCCCCTACCTGCGTGAGCAGGTCCAGGCCAATGATGCCATCAAAGGTTGTTAATGTTTTTAGTAGAAAAAACGGCGTGATTTTGCCGAATATTGACAGGGACATTTCTGTGTAATGTTGTTGGACCCGTTAATAGAGTGAACGGGGAACGGTGATTCAACCGGGGTAACGCCAGGAAGCCACATGAATGGCTTGATGTAATTTTTGGACGCACCCGTGTCGATCAGAAGTTTTATGTTGACCCCTGCTACTTTCCGCCAAACGAATGGCAGCAGGGAGCATCCCTAAAAAATTAACCGAGTCGCTCTCGTATCCGAGTTCGGCGTCGGCCTCTATTTCTGCGACCGCCTCAGCGGCGGCCTCAGTGTAGGCCGCCGGGGACCGGTCACTTGAGGTGGCAATGTGTTCCACCCTCTGCCGCCAGTTTCCTGACGTGCGCTCTGACGAATTTGGTTTTCTTCCGAAACCGCTGTCGCGCTTACCCGTCCCCCCTGGCTTTTGGTAAGCCGTGGCCTGTCTAAATTTGGAGGATGAAGGGTCTACGTCCATTGGCTCGGGGGCCTGGCCCGTAGCTCTTTGTTGTTGATTCGAGTTGCCCTGGCTCCTAACATAATGAGGGCTCTTAAACGAATTTGGGTCTTGCGGTCTGTTTTGCCTCCCGTTACCCTGTTGTGGCGCTTGGTAATTGCGCTCGCCTGTTCGGAAGGATTTTTCTTCTATGGCCTTTGCGTAGTTCGCAGCCAGAATGCTGCGATCTTCGCTGTATTCCGCCGACTGGGCTAAGGCCAGTGCGGTTGGCAAATCCTTTGGCCTCGCCGGAAAGACTGCTGCCTTCAGGGGCCTTCTCAAACCTGATATGAACACCTCTAAGGCGTCTTCCCTAGCTTTTTGGTTGAGCACATCCGCTGCTTCTGCGGTGCGCATCATCACGTTTTTGTTGGTGATGAGGGAGACCTGTTTCTCTATTGCGTCATAGTAGTCAGTTAGAGACAGGTTCCCTTGTCTCATGGTTGCCAGCCTCTGCTGGATCACCCCTACAGGCGTCTTATCTGAATAAGAGCTGTCTAGCCTGTTTATTATGGCCTTAAAATTGAGCACTGTGTTGAAGGACGACAACACATTGTTCGCTGCTCCTTTAACCTTATTCCTAATGATGCCCGTGGCCATGAAGTGTTTGGAGCTGCCTTGGTAAGGCTCGAACACCGAATACGCGGCCATAGCTGCCTGGCGCCAACCGACGTATTCCAGCTGTTTGCCGTCAAAGTCTGGTAAAGACTTGACCATGTCCAAGCACTGATCGCATTGGACCCCGGAAGAATTTCCGCACTCTTAAAAACCTCTACTACCGGCACAGATGGTCCTGCGCTCGATTGGTTAACTTGTTCCCGCAGTGCGAGCATTTCCGCACGAAGTGCAGTAGCTTGGCCCGCTAGGGCTGCAGCCTCTTGTGCTTGGGCTGCAGCCTGGTTTGCTTGGGCTGCAGCCTGGTTTGCTTGGGCCACCTCGTCTTGTAGTCGCTCTAAGTGAGCCTGAAAACCTTTGGCTTGATTATCTAATGCGGCCTGTAAGGCATTGTTGAATGACGTCACGTCCATGTCTTTTGGTTTTTCTTTTGCTGGTCGACTGTCCAGTGCTGTTAAATCGAGCCCCTCTATGAGGGAACTAAGGCTATCGTCACTGTCGCTGTCGCCCTCCCTATGGCTCATGTGGTGCGATTTGTTTCGGCAGAACTACCCATAAAGGTTTATCTTACGTTCCTAATTCTTAAAAACGCGGGTCGAAGGGTGTTTGCTCATTCGCGGTTTACTTTAAATTTTGACCAAAATTTGCCAAAAATAGCGGATCTTTCGCTGTTATCGATACTTATTGCGTTATCACTGACATAGGAAATGTTAACACATGAAAAATTCACTTACATGTTCTCTGATTGTAGGGTGAAGGGAGTCTGATCTAGCCCCTGCCTATTGGTCTTCGGTTGAGCGTCGGGAGCCTTTCACGCTGAGATGGTTGGGCTGGGCGAGGGAATTCCCTGCAGCCCGCGTAGACTTTTGTTGATTTTTGGTAAGGTGAGGCGAGGGAGGGCCCTTCAGCCTATTTTTTCCTTTCGTAGATATTGGGTGGAAGCGAGGGATTTCCCTACAGCTCCTTGTGTTTGTTCCTCTGGTGTCAGCTCCCGCGTAGTTGGGTGTTTTTTTTGTAATTTTTTTTTTTTGATTCTTAATGCTTGGTTGTAGCGCACATGAAACAGAAGTATTTTTCAGTAGCCCTTTTGGTTTTGGCGAAGAACAAAAAAAAATTTGCACACACTGATGTATTTTTTTGGGCGGGGGGTTTGACAACCAAAACTTCTCACTTATTTTTTCTTTAATTTTTCATTCCTTTTCTGTTGATTTGTTTGTGCCCACAGGGAGCTTTTTTCTTTTAAGGGCCACTAGGGTTTGACAACAAAAAAAACTTCTCACTTATTTTCTTTTTTAATTTTTCATTCTTTTTCTGTTGATTTGTTTGTTCCCCACCGGGAGATTTTCTTTTGGGCCACTAGGGGTATCTTTCTTATTTCACTGACACAAGTAAAAACATGAGATGCACTCGTTGGTATGTTTTCCACTTTTATTATTTATTTCGAATTTTCTTTTGATTGTTGAATTCTTCAGCACTTTTTATACTCGCGTTACTTGGGTTCTTCTTGACCCGTTGGGCGCCAATTAAATATTATTTATCCCGTTTATATGTACCGGGCTCGGCCACCGGCAAGGAAGACGAGATTACGTTTTAAAGTTTATTACCGGCACGACTGGCTCGGTCAAGTATGAGATTAAATCTGAAGTACAAGAAATGAAATATAAAATGATATTCTTAAAGTTGCCCCCCAGACGGCAGCGCTGCCCATGCAGCGGGCCGACGTTCTGCAACCTCAGCGCCTCGAGCCGACGGTCCGCTCTCCAGCGGATGTTTATGCAACAATGTAACTTGAGGACCCCCGTCCACTTGAGTCAGCATCAGAGGTCTTCCACTTCTGGAATTCCGCTGATACCCTGCAGCTGGTGGGGAGTGTTAACTTATACATCAGTGTGCAAACACCCATATATAGGAGCGCACAACAACTGGCAGCTGTTGCGGCCTCATATCGGCACTAAGATCGCCAGAGTCAGAGCCATAGCCATCGCCAGAGCAGCACACAAAGCGCCCACTTGGCGTATGAGCAATATGTGTGCGTGTGAGGGAAGAAACAGAAACAGGCAGGCAGGAAGGAAGGAAGGATGCGGGATTGATACACGCCCAATGCCTACTCCATTTAAGCATTATACGAGCATGGAGTAGCGATTTGCTCAGAGATCAGCCGAACGAACGTAGATGATATTTACTCCAGTGAAATTCCTTCACGCTCTGCTCTCATCTTCTTCTATGCTCCTATGCCTTGCTGGGCACTTCTTCTCCTCTGCTCCCTGGATGGCAGCCCATCCCTACCAGTGGGCAAGCAGCGTTTAGCGATACCCTGCAGCAGCTGCCCGACCAGGTTACACGGTGTAAGACCATCTCATCGTATCACTTTCGCTCTGCTGGGCAACTGTCACCGTCAGTGGCGGGGAGAGCGCTGTCGTTTTCTTATCTGCCAGACGAGGGGATTCAACCGATTCGTATTTCAATTATGCATTCAGGCAGCATGGCCACTGGCCAGTATCGAAGCGTTTGATACCCCGTCTGGCCAGGGAATCTACGCAATTTTTAGGCAATACTTAGCCAGTGATATTGGTGGGGCACTGGCTATCTTTGCTATAAAGAGAAAGATCTCTTTATTATTTTTTCATCTATTAAAAATCGTAACAACTCCCTCAGGAGTAATATCTAGAGAGCTAAAAGAGGGTATGGAGTGTGGATGGAATTGTCAGCTGCATGCCACATTCCGGTCATTAATACGCCATCAGAAGCGACTGCCCAATGAGCAGGGGGAAAAAGATACTGATAAAGAGGCAGCAGCAGGGGCAGAGGCAGGGACAGAGATGTGCATATTAAAAAGAAAATAGCAACGCTGCCGGCTCGCGTCATCATCATCATCATCAGGGGCTGCGCTTAGTTCCGTTTGTTGTCCACCGGAATGCAGCTGGATCTGCCACTGCCACTGCCACTGCCACGGCCACGGCCGCTGTCACTGCTGCCTGCCACCTGAAGCAACAAATGCAGCGCTTAGAAGTGGCACAAAATGCCAACTATGGCAGAGCAGCTCTCCACAGAAATCGAACACAGAGAAACTCTTTCCAGGAGCCTCCACTCTCAGATATTTTGTGTAACTAAATTCTCAGTAGAAACTCTGAAAACGTAAAAAAATATTTACCATGGGAAACGCATTGAGGAGAACTCCACCGCCCAGTCTCGAGACCGAGACGCAAGATCAAAAGTCCAGACCAAGACGATGAGGAGAAGGAGAATGGGAATGCGCTGGAGATTGAAGAGCATCCACCGGCACTCTGCCCGATCGACGACTGCATGGAGCAGGTGGCCCACTCGCACCTGCTGCGCCACATAATGAGCGCCCACATGAACTGCTCGGGCACTGCTGAGCTAGTCCCCGTGCAGACGCAGATGAAGGAAGTGGCCACTGGGGCGACGACGCTGCTGTTGCTGGACTACCGGCACATGCCCCTCGGCCGGGACCTGTGCCTGGCCGTGCTCAACTGGCGGGGCGACGGCTGCTCCTGGGATCTGTCGGTGCCGCAGCGCGATCTGCCGCTCAGCGTCCAGGCGCTCAGCCTCCACGTGCCCGTGGTCGTGATGGTATGCCGGACCACCTGGAAGTCGGTGCTGACCCCGCCCAGCCAACGGCCGGGCCCGAATGAGCCGAGAGACGTCACCCAGGAGTTGGGCAAACTGCTGCTCATCTGGCTGCTGTGCCCGGCCATTCGTCGTCCCGTGGCGGTCACCCTGACGATCATCAACAGCAAACTGAAGGTGCTGAAGCGGACCCGCCGCATGCCGCGCGTCCACACCACTCAGTTCATCACAGGGCCGAATCACTACTTCCTTCACATCGATGAGGACGATCTGGAGGAGCTGTGCGATTGCGGAAAGTCCGCCGTTTTCCTCCAGCTGGTGATCGATGGCGAGCTGCAGCCTCAACTCTCCAATTGAATATTTTCGGAGAACTCAAAATAGAATTAAAGTCAACTGAACTAATCGGCACATTTTTGGGGGATTTGTGGACTCATCTGGTGTCGCAGTTAGTGGGACCAGAGGACCAGTGTGGAGAGTGGGGCAGGAGCTGTGGCTGTGGCTGGGGCGTGGTTGGGCTTGGCACCTTGGCGCACAAATTGAAGCCAGTTTATGGCTCACATTTGGCAAGGCGGCTCTGCTCTGCTCTCGGTTCGGTACGGTTCGCATTATTGATTCCGCTTGCCAGCTTTATTGCCCCTTTTTCTGGGGCAACACTTTTTTATGGCCGCAACAGACTCGCTCGCTCCCAACGAAATTCTCCAGGAAGGAAGGACGAACGGATACAGCTGAGGCTGCAAATGTGCCATAAATTGTTGTCTTTTATGTGTTTATGTTTTGGCAGGCATTCAGACAGGCCATGCCACACGCCACACATGCCACACACAGTCAGTGCCACAGATCAAATCAAATCAAACCAGATCCGATCCGATCGCAGGCCGCACAATGTTTCAAGTGATTTTCGCGTTATGAGTTTTCAATAAGAAGCGAATTCCCGCTGCCAGAACCAGCCACATTATTGCATCAGCCTCATCTGCCGCCTAGTTTAACGACGGGACAGCGCAGCCAAACAACAGAGCAGCCATTTCAGGCCCCAATGGGAAGCCAAGCTGCAAACTCTTGACTTTAAGCTGCAACGGCAATCAGTGGCTAGATGGTAAGATGGGGCAAGCAAAACAAACAATGGCAACGGCTGGCCGGCTGGCCGACTGGCCGACTGGCCGACTGGCCGACTAGCTGCTTGACGTCCCAATATAACGCGGCGACAGGTTTACGATGCATTTGTATCTTCACCGTACAGGACAACATATGCCCCACATGCCCCACCGCCTGTCCGGACTGGGCATTGCCTTTCGTATTCCTGTTCTCTCCCGTATGCCCTCGCATGTTGGCATTTTCATTGAGGGGAAAAATCAGTAAAGTCGGCGCAACGATTTCCCATTCCCATGTGGCAAGTGGAGAGCTCTTTGTGTGCCCAATGTCCACTCGTTCACTTGTCCGCTCGTCTACGTGTGCGTGTTCGTGTGCGTGCTCCAAAAAGGAGAAACATCCCTTGGGCGGGGCAACGACAACGACAACGATGAGGACACATAAAGGCTAAATTGGACCCTGAATGGGCGCTGTGGAAGACATTGCCTGGCCAATGGACAAACACTCAAGTCATTTAGACCCCCTCCCCCGCCTCGGACACGGCCACACGGAACTCTTCTCTGTGGAACTGTCTCGTAAAAATATCTGTCCACCGCCAGGGCCTATTGAATTGGGAAAACTCAATGGCTACGTGTGTCAGTGTAACCATCCGATACCCTGGCGTTGGTTGGTGCAGCAACTAAAAGTCTGCCTATAATTACGCACTTTTCGTCTCGAATGGAATTGATCTCTGGCATGGTGTGGGTACGGTGGGGCACCCACACAGAAGCTTAGCCCCTCGACCGCACCCACCAGAACGTGTTAACATGAAGGCTGATACGTGGCACCACGGCCAAGAGGGGGGTAAGGAGACGGAGAACCCATCAGGGCCTTTCTTGCTTCTATTCTGCGTCTGCTCCCGGACGCCAGCTGTTGCCAGTGGCAACCGCATCGCACTCTGGTCAGTGGATTGCACTACCCATTACCTATAGCAGGTTGATCGCAGACTTCGTAGGTTGCTTTCCATTGCCAGTAATCACAAAGCTGCAAACTTATGTTAAGTATTTGAATTGGCTGCTCTTTTATTGGGTTTTCCGATCGAGCCAATAAGACCATCAGTGTGTGGGCCTGCTTATTGCTTTCCTGTCTGCCTGTCTTCTGGTTTTAATTTGCTGAAATGCGCGCAAATCGCGCGAGAGAACGCAGGGATAGAGAGGAGCTGCTGCACTCGCTCCGCCAGTTCGACAGTATCGATATATGTCACAAAATATCACATGGAATGTTATATCGATGCCAACATATCGTGTAAATATATCGGCCACAAAGGCACGCAGCTGTCTCGTTCGCACACTCGTGTACCCACTATTTTAAGCAGAAGAAGAATTTTGATCTGGAGCGGAATTCTGCATTCTGCTTGGATATTTTTGAGTACTGGAGAAGCTGAGTGGATTGCTGAGCTGATTGTCTGATCCTTGGTGGCTGTGGATCCCACAGAGTAGGTATAGGAGTAGGTATGTACCCAATATGAGTGTGTGTGTGTGAGTTTGTTTTGCTTGCGTTTCATAATTTGTGAATTTTTTGTTGCATTTGTGACACACCCGTGGAACTGGTGACTTACTTATGTGCATCTTTACACACAGATGCATGTGCGGAGTGCTCGTGTTAAAAGTCTTCCCGGTTCGAAGGCAGCAGATAAAATCCAATCAAATCAGATCAGATCTGTCTCTGCGTTGTTTGGCAGTGGAATGGAATGGAATGGAATGCGGTGCAGTGCAGTGCCCTGCCTGGAGTGCCCTCCAGGCACTGACGTGTTATGTGCCAGTTATGTGCAACTGGAACAATTAAAGCGATTCCCTGGCCCCCGTCTCTATGCACTTAATGCACATTTAAATGCGGCTTGGTGACTGTTGGCTGTTGCCTGTTGGCTGTTGGCTGCTGATGGGCTGGGCTGGGGTGGGGTGGGGTGGGGGCGTTCTGTGTTCGTCTGCCATCTACTGGGGGGTACTTGGTCGCAGTCTGTTTGCCCAACTTTTCTGCTGACTTTTTAGACTAAAAGTCAAATATTTCATTTGGAAATTCCTGGCGACGAGGCGAGAATGAAATAAACCCCCCCCCCCCTTCCCCCCCTCCCCTCCTTTTTTAAAAAGGGGGGGGAGGGGGGGGGGGGGGGGGGGGATGGCAGCAAAACACATTTTTCTAACTGTGACCCTGGAACCAGACCCTTGCATCCTGCAACATGCACCCCCCACTCCTGGTCCTGACACCCCTTTGGCGGCTGCTTAAAAACTATAAATTAAGTTTCCCACAACTTTTGCCTCTCATCTCCCCTCCCATTCCCCTCCATCCCATTCCATCGCATCTCGTCTTGTGTTGTCTTGTCCCCCCCCCACACTTCGGTGCCTGTTTATTTTCGCTGTTCTATCACAGTGTGAAAAAATGGCATTGTCCGGATCCCGGGTCCAGGTCCGGGGCAGGCAGGAATCCGAACCCGAATATCTGTTTCCCTTTCCCCCCATTGCTATCTGTCTTTCTGTTCGTTTGTCTCCGCTTCTTCCTGTATCTATCTGTCCCCTGCTGCTTCCCCATTTCCCCACCATTTCCATCTTCATTTCTCTGTCGCTGTGCCTTGTGCCACACAGCCAGAGGAGCCGAAATGTATGTCAAGTGTTACCAGCAGCAACTTTGACATCCATCATTTGGCATCTGAGTCACTTGTTGACCTTTCTTTTAGCCAAAAAACACGACACGAAGCGGACCGCACTGGACTGGACTGGAGCACCACCGCCAGCCGTCTGGGGGCCACCTGACAGCTAATCAAAATGTCGCACAAAGTTCATTAACAACATTTTCCAGTCAATTGTCTTGTCAGGGGCGAAGGCCGGGAGAACGAACGGGAGCAAAGCAGAATGAGTGCAGCAATATGTTTGCACCTGGCTCTGGCTCTGCCCCTGTATCTGCCACTGCCTCAGCCTCTGCCACATTGGCAGGTCATTGAGGTTGCTGCCTCATTTTGTTAAGAGCTGAAGCCCCTGCCACTGCCATTCATTTGCTTGGCAAATCAGCTAAACTTAACGAACTGTTCTGGCGGACAGCCTGACAGCCAATGAACATTTCGGTCACAGATCGGCAGGCAAATATTAAACAAGCAAAGGAAATGTGGCGGCAGGTGGGGCTGGCTTAGGCTTAGGCTTAGGTACATCCGTAACACTTAGAACTCCAGAAAGACTTTTGATAGACTCTGCCCTGGCTGTTCTTTGTGTGGCAATAATCTCTTGGCTTTTATCAATCCGATTTCTGACATTTTGTTCGTTTTTCAATTCCTCTTAGATGCAGAGCCGCAAATGGGCAGCAGGACAAAGGACCAAGAAGCAGAAACGATGACGGAGAAGAGCCCCAAAAAGGAGCTGCATCAATATAAATGAATATATGCAGGCCATTAGCAGCATAGATGGCTCCGGCATGGCCAAAGCCAAAAGCAGCTGCTCTTCAGCTTGTTCTCTGGTGGCCCGCTCTCCTCTCATACGCACAAAAGCGCAAGCGGGTCAAGGATACAACGGGGGGGGTGGGGTGGCGGGGGAGGAGTGCGAGTGTTATGCATATGTGAGTGACAACACACAACGTAACAAAGGCTGGGAGGCTGGATGGCTGGCTGGCTGGGAGTCAATGGAGTGCTGCTGCCTGCCGTGTGCTGCCATGCCAAAGTAAAATGCCATTGTCACCATCTCGTACGTATTCTCATCATCGTCATCATCTTTTGGACCAGTCAGTCATCTTCATCTGCAGCATCATTGTTGTGTTTGTGCTCAGTGTTACACACCACACCCACACCCCCCCCACACCCTCACCCCACTTGAAAGTCGCACAAATGAACGCGTAATTGTTTGCACATGAATACATTGGGTAAATATTTGCAAACACATTCAGCAAAAACTCCAACTACAGTCACTCTCCCCCTCTCTCTCCCTCCCTCTCTACACTAGAAACTGGCTGCATTCTGAGGCATGCCCCATCACCATCACCATCATCATCATCATCATCATTGCATGTCGTGGCATGGACTTGAACTGCATTGCCAAGTCAGTGAAGGGAAGGCCTTAATCTGCTTACCTTACCTTGGTGACAGACATTTCTTTTCACCTTCCTTCTATTTTTTTCCCACAGCTGGCATTGCTGCAAACGAGTGGGCGATGGGGCTGAGGACGTGGACGTGGACTCAACTCAGTGGAGAGGAATCTCGCTGGCAAAGGTGGCTGAGCTTCGCAGGGCTTTGCTTTAATTACGGTATGCCCCGCACTTTGAGAGCACAAACAAAATTGCAAATTGTTTATGGCATGCAAATTAATCAAATCTCTTTCTCAATTAAGCCAGGAAGCCAGCTATCCCAGGCATGCCAGCCATGCCAGCCAGCCAGCAGGCAGACTGGCAAAGTGAATCGCCTGATGACCTGAGCAGCGAGAAACCAAAAAAAAAAAATATACATAAAGTACACAAATATTCCACAAGTTGTAGCCATGGACCAGGGCTCAAATGCATAATTTATATGGGTGCAGCGGGGCAGGGAGGGAGGGAGGGAGGGAGGCATCATCATTCGTGCCACAAGCTGCATGGCAGCGATGATGCTACCCTGCACCCAGCCAGCGACCCTCATGAGATAATAATATTGTGAGCATTGGGATTGTCTTTCGGCCAGGCCAACCCACTGCTACCCTGCTGTTTCGGCTGCTGGTTGCTGCTTGCTGGCTGCTGCTTAATTCATCAAATTGTTGCGAAGAGAGTTTAGAGAGGCCATAGATAATCGAGTGAACTCGATAGCATGCCAGCATCATCGTTCCAATCAAAATCCCAATCATCAGGCAGGACCTTTAGCTCAAGGATGGCGCACTCGCACTCTGACGCTGACTCTGCCTCTGCCTCTGCCTCGCATGCAATTAAACTTTCCCAACTGAATAATTCGGTCCAAAGCTATCCACATGTATGGAGGGGGCCATGCAGGGCTTCCGCTCGCTCGCTTGTTCGGGGCAAAGCCAACTTCATGTAATTGAGTGTAAACTTGTCGGAGCATTTATTTAATGCCTAATCAAGTGATGTGCAACACATGACTTATCCCCTTTCAGAGCTCTACCTCCCAGTGATAGATGCTACAGGCGTGTCCCAGCACGTTGTTGCGTTGTGTCAATTGTTGCCTTGTCCAATTAGCATAATTTCTCGTCTCAACTTTGGCCCCTTCAGCTGCTCTGGCTAATGCAAAAGATACACAGCAACGCAACACCATCGGCGACAGTGTCTAAATTGTCACACAATTATTTGGAATTAACTCAAATTGTCCTTCAGTTGGGTTGCCCGTTGGATGAAAAAAAACTTAACCCAGATAATTTAATTTTTGTTTGCTTATTCTCACTCATTAGATAACGGATTGTAATTATTTCAGCTGCAATTAATCATTTGGATCTTCCACGGACTAGCCATGTGCTGTGCCCTGCCCCTCTCCCAAATATACAGGGGAGGCTGTGCCCCTTTATTAAATGATTTCTAATCGGTGCCACTCAATGCACAGCCGCAGGGCCCATCGGTAGTGGGCCCATTTCCGGTGACAATCGCAGTCACTGCTACCCAGCCGCACGGGCAAGGCTCCCAAATGAAGAGAAAAATCAACAGCTGGCAAAGAGCGAGCCAGAGCCGAGGTCGTTGCACAGCTCTCTCTCGCTCTTCACCACGCTCCTTCGGGCATTGCGGGCGATGAGGCACGACACAGTACGACTCCGGCACGAGACAAAACTCACCACTAAACGAGCAGGCGCCTCCGTGTTGAGGCGCCACTGCCTGAGCCCGTGCCAGTGCCTGTGCCGACGCTGCCATTCAGTTTAACGTCAAACTCTGCTGCTGCCAGTTGCCTGCGCCAACCAGCCACGGATCACAGATTCAGCCAGCCAGCCAGCCAGCGAGCCAGCATTCAGTCAACCATCTCGAAGCCAGAACCAATCAGTCAGCCACTCGAACAATCGCCGAACAGCGACAGGTCGCAACGTGTGTCCCAGTGCCCAGAGTAGACCCTCACCTAGCGGTGATTCGCACAGACAGTCGGTCAAGTGTCTCTCTCGCAGCTAATTGTCATCATTTGTTAATGATTTTTGAACCCGGATCGTGATTGTTATACACGCGGCACCCACCGGCTGCTGATTTGTCTCATTTTAGTGCCGAGTGAAATTATACGATTGCGTTTTTCTTGTGATTTTTGTTTTGTTTGTTCGGTGACTGCTACCGGCTCCAACCACTCAGTGCGTATGATTAATATATTCAATGAAAAAACTGTCCAACGAAGCGTGAAAAAAGCAAGCGGGAAAATAAGCAAAAACAGCAAACGTGTAAACTGAGCGGCACAAGATAAGCCCACAGCCATAAGAACCACAAACCAAGATCCAAAACCAAAATCAAAAACCAAAATCCAAAACCAAATCCAAAACCAAAACCAGAGGTAACCAGAGGCAAGCCAACCAACCAAATAAGCTGCTGGCCAAAACGAACGAACGGTTAGTAAACACAAATTGTTTGTTTCTCTCTCTATCTGTGTGTGAGTTTTTGTTTTTTGAAGGAATTTCTGTCCCCCCCCCACTCACCCCACTTCCAGCAGCAATAAAACCAAAGAATATTCCAACTTGAAGCGTCGGTTTTACACTTCGCTTTATTCAGCATACATTTACATTTATTTGCGATTATTCCTAGTGTTACATGATGTGTGACTATTAATACTGCAATTTGATTTACCAGAAGCGAATATGAATTGGAGGAGTCCGAGTGTATTTTCCAGCGCTAAAAGGTTCAATAGTAGCGTATTAACCTTTTAGCACTGCAGCCGCTATATGCTGTATGATATCTGGATCATGAGTCATCACAAAATATACTTATGGAGAGAGGGTGAGATCTGGAGTGCCTCTCTAGCGCCAAAGGGGATTCAAGGGGAAGCTGCGAGCATGAACCCTTCAGAGCTTTGGCCTGGGGCGTCATAGCTCGATTATTATTAAATGATTTTTTGTATTGTGTCTTGCGATGGGCAATCGCAATGTCCTGCCACTGGACGATCTGTGTTTGCTAGCGCTAAAAGGTTCAATGCTATGGATGACACCTTTTCAGCGCTTAGCTTGGCCCCAAAGTGTACGGAATTTGTTGGTTTACACACACACACACACGAACAGTGTAATAGTGTAGTATAGTGTATATAGTGTTGTATAGGTGTATTGGCTGTGTATTGACTGGTGTGTTTTGGCTCAGAAGAAGCCACACATGGCCAGATGTATATCGGCATCTGTGGCATTGGTGATGCGCACAATCGAGTGAATGCGTCGTCCGATGGGAATTTCCGAATCATTCGACTGTATGCGCCGGGCGATATGCGACTCCAAGGTGTGCAGCACAGGCTTGGGCTTCTGCAAAGGATTTCGGTTTAGATTCAAATGAGTTTGGCTGTGGATGGGAGTACCTCTTTGGTCCAGAAGACAATGCCAGTCGAGTTGCTGTCCTTGCACTTGATCTCGCCAGTGCCCGTGGGCGCTTTGGCCTCGCTGTTGGCACACCAAACAAATACAAACAAAAAAAAAGGGAAAAATTAAACAGTGAAGCGAGGAATTAAAGTGACAAATACTAACCGACAGTCGTCGCAGTAGGGCGAGTGCTTGCAGAGCACTGTAGTGGGAGAGGACACCGGATTAGTGGCTGTGGCATCCCGTGGGGAGCAGCTGAGCGAAACTCACCCAGATTGCACTTGGCGCACACGAATCCAATCTTGTTGTCGAAGCCGTGACAGGCACAGCGGGCGGGCGTCGTGATGTGGGGCTTGGGCGCCTTGACCAAGTAGCTGGGATACAGATAGTGGTCGACCAGGCTGCCGGGCAGACTGAACGTCTCGTTGGTGCAGAGGTAGAGGCCGTCGGTGACTTCGGTGGCGCGCTGCAGCGGCTTCTGCTTTTCCACCTTGATGGCGCACACATTGATAGTCACATTGGTTTCCAGGGCCTCCAGGATCAAGTTGTCGTAGCTCGGATGGAGAATGCGCCCCTGGACGCGGCGTCCCGTGTATATGTCGGGTATCTGGCGACGTCGCTTCTGGATGTAGGCCAGAGCCAGGCCAAGGGACTCGGCTATGAGCGAGGACTTGTCGTCCTCCTCACTCAACTTCTCCACGATGGCGAATTCGCGCAACAGCTCCTCCTCCACCTTCCTGGACACGTCGTACTCCATGGTCTTGATCGTGTCCAGTTGATAATCGTATGAGGTTAATGGTATATCAATCGAATGGGCCAGCATGCTAGGGGGGGCGGAGGGCAAACCGTAAGCGGGGCAGGGCGGGGCACGGGCAGGCGGCACTACTCACACAATGTTCCGGGAGCAGGCAATGACCCCCACCTCGTTGCGGGGTCGCTGCAGCAGATGGCCATTGGCCAGCACCATGGCAGCATCGACCATATTCAGGGCCATGTCCACTTTGCCCGACTGAATGTAGCTCTGTCCGTAATCAATGTCCAAAATCAGCACCAAAATGTGAACATCTTCTGGAGCTGCATGCCATCAAATACGAGCATCAGCAGGGAGCTTCCAAGCCTTGCAAATTCAAATTCCCACTCACCCAAGTCCCCTGTATGCATTTTAAAGAAGCGCCTGTTGTCGTCCATGGCATTAAGGGACACTGCATCGGCATCGGCTTCGGTTTTCTCAATGTTCGACTCGTTTTGGGTTTCAATTTTAGAGCTCGCCATTGGCGTGGTGGCAACATCTAAGTTAGTCAAAGGTTCTGCCTCCATTTTCGATTAATTTTTAGACAATTTTTCGTTTTCGTTTCACCAAATATAAATATTACTGACACCGAACGGCTGATACGCAGAAAGTGTTGGAACAGGACTGAAAATTTGATGCTCCCTGCGTTGCCTACTACTGTCGATCAACGTGGAATTTGTATGGCTAAACTTTAAATTCACTTCAAGAAATTGTGGCGCACAAAGCACAGGCAGCCACCAAATAGAGCAAGGAGTAAAGGCAACGGGCAACGGCAACCCCTAAATGATTTATAAGGCACATTACATTGAATATTCAACATAATGTAGCATTTAAATGACCCACGCACCAAACACAGCTCCGCACGCATAAACAGAGGCCCAAAGTCAGAGAGACAGAAAATATATTATGCGAGGATATACATATATGTATATGTGTGTGTAGATATATCTGTAAGACTCTGTAGATATATGGAGTGGAAGGTCATCTCTGGCTGGTTGCTGCCGGTACCGACTGTGCATCGCGCACCGAGCCGAATCCCAAAAAGCCAAGCAACAAGATTCGCCCCAAGTTTTGTTGGCTGTCTCTTCCTTCATATTTCTTAAATGCGAAAATCGCTCAAAGTTTCCACAGCGATTGAATAGTATTTTCCTGCACGCTTGCCAAGCAAAAAAAAAAAAAAAATATTCGCAACTTGTGTGCGTGTGGCATGTGGCACTGTGGCAGTGTGTTAGCTAAAGTAATTTACCAACACAGCTGAAGCCGCCGGGCCAGCGCCAAGCCGACATCATAAATCACACGTTTTGCTCAAACTATAGAAAGTGGCACGCGGCACGGGGCATGGGGCATGGTGAGGGCTGGGCTGGAAGGCAGATACACGCGTTACGTGTCGAGGTCAAATGTCAGAAGTCAGCCGATTTGGGCAACATTCTGACAGACAATGAGTTTTAGCCCCAGAGCCAGTGCCATTTCGGGCTTTTTTGCCACACCGTTTTGCAGCACTGCTCTGCTCACGATTATCGATATCGATATATGATATCGATGCGCAGCACTGCATTTTCGCTGCAGAAAATTCCTTTTTTGTTTCGTTCGTCTCACAGGAAAGTTGTATGTGTGCGTGTTTTTTTTTTTTTTTTGGGATTTTTTTATTTTTTGCTGTGCTAACTGTAAGATGGATGACAAACGGCCCCATCGCAGCGATAAGATTTTGGACTTTTTGAGCTATCTGCTGGCCACGCAGCGCCTGAAATTCTGGGTAAGTGTTCCAGGGGAAAATTCGAGAGCGACTGCCCAATCATTACAACATAACCTACAATTAGCAACCGCAAGCGAAGCGCTCGAATGTGGTCAAGTACATTTGCCTGTCGGACGTGAGCTGCGACATGGACTCGGTGATGAGCACTCTGGCGCTGGCCTACTACCGCTACCGGACCAAGAAGTCCACGTTCGAGCACTACGTGCCGATGCTCAATATGCGTCGTCGCGACTTCGAGACGAAGACGGAGGTCGCCTTTATGCTGAACAAGTGGAATATCTACGCGCCGCATCACCTGCTCTTCCGCGACGACATCAAGATACAAATAATGAAGCAGTGCCACTACATTCTGGTGAACCACCACGTCAGCTCGTTCAACTGCCGTGTGGTGGAGTGCTACGACCATCGCCCGTTCCGCAGCGACGAGGTGCCCCTGCCCGTGGGCTGCCGGCGCGACTTGAGCCTGCTGCCGATGCGCTCGTGTGCCGGCATGATCACGGCCCTGTACAAGAACGCCGCGATGGAGTGCCAGGTGCTGTACGACCTGCTGCGCACCGCGCTGCTCATCGCCAACTGCAACTTTGTGCAGGTGCTGCCGGAGAAGCTGTGCGAGGTGCCGGACCTCGAAATGCTCAAGTACCTGGAGACATATATCCTGGGCAAGCCCATGGAGCCGGATGAGCGCGCCCTCGACTACCAGAAGCTGATCAATTCCATGTTCGATGGCCAAACGCTCAACCTGGACAAGCTGCTGCGACGCGAGTTCAAGGTGCTGCGCGCCAGCGATGGCCAGTTGACGCGTCGCCTCGTCTTCACCAGCTTCCCGATGGCCCTCACCATGCTGGTCAATCTCAGCCGAGCCCAAATGGCCGTCGCTCACTTCGGCCACGAGCAGGCCGCCGACTTCATTCTGCTGGTGAGCACAGCCCCCGGCCTGGCGGAGAACGAGACGATGGCCGTCCAGCAGCTGGGCCTCATCTCCATGGACGGGTTGCGCGATCTGGATAGCCGCCGTCTGTTCGACCACATGGTCATCAATCTGAATGCGTCCGCCGATCCCATGATCATCCTGAACCCCTTTCCCAAGCTCGACTTCATGCAGGGCGCCTTCTACCGGCTCGATAAGCTGGACAAGAGCGTGCACGAGGTGCTGCGCCTGGTGGAGCGCATCATGTACCACTGGGCGGAAGACTGCCACTGTGTCACCGCCGACAGCAGCAAGAAGCCGTGCTTCTAGGCGGCATAACTAAATGCAAATAAATAATAAACATATACAGACGAGTATAGCGAGTGTATACGAGTGTATGTAGCTGCATATAATGAAAGTGTGTGTGTGTGTTTCTTGAATAGTTCTACGGAAGTGTGCCCTGTACCCTCCTGCGATCCATTATAGCGCCACACTCTCGGGACTCGGGACTCGCAGGCAATCACTCATCGCAATCGCTTTGACCCGCTGCCAAATCTTATTTTTCTCCTTGCATGAATTATTCCGTGGGCTAAAAAGATGTTTATAAAAATGGAGACCCCACGCACAACGTCGGCAAGGCAAAAGGCCAAAAGGCAAAAGGCCAAAGGGGGAAAGGGTAAAGGGATGAGGTGGAACGGAAGGGGGGGGGCGGTGGGTTGGTTGCCCATTAGACAACGCATTAATCTAATCATATGAGTTGATATGCGCCTCAGACGACTGCCTCAGAGCATGATGCTCATTCTCTTTGCTTGCCTTGCCCACAAAAATCATGAACTCAAAAATGGTAATGCCCCACGCCACCCCCCCGCTCACCCATTCAGCCACAAAATACACACAGACACAGACACAAGCAAAGACATTTGCAAGTTGATTTATAAGCGCGCTGATGTCAGTTACGTGCAAAATGGCAGCAAGTTTTTTTTTCCGTGCCTGGCCTCCTGGCCTGCCCCACGCACGCACTCAATAAGGTTACGAGCAACGGAAGCGGCAAGTGGGGTGAGTAGTGGGTGGTGGCTTGAAGCTTACCTGCGTTTGTGCTCAGGTTACAAATGGTAAGGGGCGAGGAGAAGAGGAGTTCCTGAAGAGGATTTGGGAAAAGAAACGCCGCTGCCGCTGCCGCCGCCGCTCTCCTGCCATTGCGCAAATTGCTTGCAACACTTTTTGTGCCATTCACCTGCTCTGCTTTTGCCTTGGCTTTTATAAATCGCTTAGACATGCCCGTGCCCCCACCCCACACACTTACAACCCCTCACTCCGCACTCCATCTCCCTTTCACTTGATAACAACAGCCAGTGGTGGCGACAACTCAAGTCAAAAGAAGCCCGAAAAACAGGAAGCTTCGCAGCAGGAGCAGGAGCTGGGGATGGCGTCCTTCCATCTACTTGTGGGGCTGCTGGCGCCACTCAAAACACATCCATCAGCAGCGTATTTGTATGAGAGGAAAAAAATGTTAAAGGTAGCGAAAACCCCTGCACAGCTCTCCCGGCTCTCAGCCATTGTAGCCGCTCCTAATTGTCAGGATTCTGCTACTGCTGCTGCTGCTGCTGATCCTTCGACTGGGGCATACCTTTGTGTGCGCGCCTCGCGTAATGAAGATAATTGCTACTAAGCGGATACGGGCGGATTTCTGAGACACCTCCACAGAGCCCAGGTCACAGTCCGGGGACAGGGAAAGGTACAGGAACAGGGACTGTCGCTGTGCTGCAAGAAGAGTTTTTCTCGTTAATGTTATCTGCTGGATTTTCGGCAGGAAAGTAATCCTTAAAGAGAGAAAATATGTGCGGCATATTTGTCGTACTTCTCGCATTAATATTCCCATTTCGATTTGCTAATTAAAGTGAAATCGTTTCAATCGTTTCTAGGTAATTCAATTTAATTTAGTTTAATATCAATTTCAGTTTCTAATGGCAATTGCATTTGCTACAATTGTTGCAAATGATTTGCTCGTCAAATTATATTCAATTAGGTTCTCAAATGATTTTTATTCCAGACTGAATTTCAATTTAATTTCATTCAGGGAATAAAACATAAAAGGAGTTTTACACACATAAAAGATATCTTCAAAGATGGAAGATACGTAAGCGATTGATGGATCGTTTATTGATTGCCACGCGAGTTTAATGATTTAATGATCCGCTTTCTATATGATCAGCAGGGTACTGCCATTGGAATAATGCCCTGACTACTCGTAGCTTTTGGCAGCATCTGCCTTAAAGTTTTTGCACTCTGTCCCCTCAATCCTCACTCTCTGCACTATTATTTTATTTCGCCTTTTAAGTCGTTTACTCATTTTTCTATTTTTAATTTGCCCAGAACGTTCCTCGTCCTGCTGGTGGGGTCTGGTTGCGAGAGAAGAGAGAGAGAGAGAGAGGAGAGAGACTTGCATTAATTAAATTCTTTCAGCTGTTAAAAGGTGTCGACTCTTCTGGCTGCTACTGCTGATGCTGGCTGCTGCGACAGGTGCTCGTGTTAATTGTTGGTGTGTCATAGGAGGAGGAGGAAGAGGTGGTGCAGCATCTGGCTAATTGGTAAATGCTTTAAAGTGCCGAGTGGCTAAAGGCAAGCTGGACTCCTCCTGGTATCCACTTCAAGTATTTTCCATCATTTGTGACAGACGCCAACAATTTGTGACAAACAAATTGGTGGGAGGGGAGAAGATTATACATATGTAACAGGTTATTGTTCTTCTCCTGCTGCATAAATTTTCCATGCCTGTCCATTTTTCTACATTATTTTTTGCTTCATTTGTCTCACTGTTCTTTTTTTTCGGGTTCTCCGTTCTCTGTTTTCTGCTCTTCTCTCGTTTGTTTGCATAAATTTATTGTGGCTCCCTCGGCCTGCCCCCAACGCATTTGCATAAATATTTTAATTTGCATTTCAACGAACACGAAACATGAACATGGATGCCCCCATCTACATCTACATCTACCCTATACACAAGGGCACATAATCGTACTACTACCCGTATAAAGGTCTCCTGTATATAGGACGGTGTTTGCGATTGTTTTGGCATTGTTTTTGTCACAAAATGATGGAAAAAGATATAATAATCAATAAGAAATATTTATGTAGATGTTGGTTGGGGGGGAGGGGGGGGGGGGAGATAGATTTGGATTTTATTCTGCACCACAGACTGGGCCTCTTTTTGTTCATCAAATTCGCATTTTGCATGCGAATTTCTGTGAAAAGCAAAATCATAATAATAAGAATTATATAACCCATCAGAAACGCATTTATATTATATTTTGTATGCTATTCAAATTTATTTAATGCTTTTTGTGTGCCTTTTGGTGGATTTATAGCTCAAAGAACTGCATGTTTACCATATTGATTCATTCATTGCTGAGTTCCATTCCCTGTGTGCGGCCTTAAAGTCAGAAAAGTCCAACTAAGATCGGTTCTGGCCTTGTAGAGTCACAAAAGTTTGCAGATTCTTATCATTTCAAAAAGCCTCTTCCCTGAAAGAACAAGGAAAAGCCGAGGGAGAGTGCAGAGAACAGAAAAAAAAAAAAAACTAAGCAAACAGAGAGGCAGAAGCAGAGGCAGCGGCAGCGGCAGCGGCAGAGGTACTGGAAAATATGTTTTCATTTTTCCCCCTATATCTACGGCACTCACGAGCACACGCTCGAAGCTTGTGTATGGGGAAAACTTTCCATTTCAAAATATTTTCTTAGCCAGCTTTTCAATGCTGCCTATGGACAAAACGGCAGGTCCAGAACAGAGGACGAGGAGGAGCAGGAGCTGGAGCAGGAGGAGAACTATTGCCAAACAAGAGCAATTTTTTTATTCCTCTCCTCAACCTTCCCTTTTTTGTATGGTGTTCTTAGGGAAAAACCAGCATGAACGTATGAACGTGTTCCTAATGCTCATTCTGGTGCTGGTTCTGTGGCATGCATCTGTTTGTTGAATAAGCCAGGCAGGACAGGCAGGAGGGAGGAAGCTGTTTGTAATATGGCAAATTTGTTAGCTGGCATTTCATCGGACATCGTAGAGCGACTGAGGGCTTGAGAGTCCAAGCAACAGATCAATAATTGAATTTGAATTTGAATAGCACTCCACGTACAACAAGGCGTATACATGATGCCCTGAACAATTGCAACAGATTAACGCAATTGTGTGGTGAAGCGGCAACCACAGAGAGCTCGAAGAAAACAACTAAAGGGAACCGCAAGAAATAAAATGCAATAAGGGAAAATTGTGCGAAAACATCGGGGGAGAAACAATGGGAGCACGATTGATTGATTGGTGGGTGGGTGGTGTACCGTGCCCTGCCCTGCCCAGCAATAATTGGGAACAAATATTATTGTCACCACAAAAACAGCGTGGGACAAGCAGTCAACAGTCACCAATGTTATTCAATTATGCAGCCACAATAACAACTCAACTCAACTCAAGAAAAGCATATTTTTTGCATTTTGAATTTGAAAAGGTTTTTCTTCACAAATACTCAACGGAAAATCCATAAATAAATAGCAAAACAATTTTTGGTCCTTTGCCATAAGTAAGAACGGTAAGAAAATAATGCAAACGAGCGGCATCGTTGTGAGCCGCAGCTCTACTTTTCGAGCATGAAAAAATATTTCTTTAGTGTCTCTACAACGACTCGGCTTTTGAAGCTGATCAAAAATATATTTATGTACCTTATGGGGTTTCAAACCCTAGGCTATATCCCTAAACTCTTTTGCGTATCGCTTATAAATGGAGTGTGCCTAGATATTCATCAATAACTCCACGAAAAAGTTCTAAAATAACTAAATCTATAGATTGTAAAAGTTTTCCACACGAATTCCATTGCTGTGGCAGATGCCCACATGCCCCGCAGAACAGAGGCATAATTCAATCAAACGAGTTGCATGCCATTGCCCATTGTAGAAATGCCCAGTGGGGCCGAATGGCTTTATTAGCCGCACACAAGAACAGAAGCCCCAGAGTCAGAGCCGCTCACAGACACATACACTCTCTCTTGCTCTCTCCCCCACTCTCTAGCCTCTAGAGTTCATAAAAAAGCAAACATAGAAATGGCCATCAAATTTGAAGATTTTATGTGGCAAAATGCCTTTCATCCCATTTCATGCCATTCTATTCCATTTTGGCCCAGACTCCTTTTGCCCTGCTCTGTAGTCTGTAGCCTGTGTAGTCTGCCGTCTGTATATCGATGGATAATATATTTATATTTAAATAACACTTCATCATGTCGACGCGGCGTATGCGTAATATTGTTTGCTTTCATGCTTTTCGCTCCCAAAAAAAAGGAAAAGCCCAAGGAGGAGCCCAAGGAGTAGCATAGACTTATAAATAAACTTGATCCATTGC